ATAAAAGTATTTTTCAGGCTGTTGTGGTTTGTTTATATTGAAAAACAAGAGAAAACAACAACAACTATGAATAACCACAAAGCTTACAGCATAAACAGTACAGAAAAGAACATAAATTACGTAGTTGTAGTTACGGGTGAAAACGATCAATAGTTTTAGTATTATGGCTCGTTCCAAAATGATTGATGGTTTCTATCAGTGTCTGACTCGGTTGAGCACACTTGAACTCAGAAGAGTAATTCGGCCTAAGACTACGGCTGAGTTGAGTTCCTGTCTAGCAACTCGGCCTCCTAAAAATTTTAACAAAAATGAATTTAGTTAAAAACTACTGAAATATAATTTAGAAATACATTGTTATATGATTCTTTATGATGATTTGGGATTTTTTTTTTTCTTACGTGCTCTAGTTTTTTATTTTTTCTATTTTTTATTTTTTTGAAGTAGTTTTAGGTATAGATGAAAATTTTCTATAATCTTCTATATATTTTTCATCTTTTGCAAAAATTTAATATTTTCAGTATTTTATTTTAGTGTTTGCTAATTTTTATTCTTTTCTAACATTTTTAAAATCTTTGGGCATATTTTGTCCTTGTATAGGACTGACCTGAGTCCGCGTGGACTGAATTGAGATACTTGGGTCAAGCCAGGGCTTTGTCCGAGATCCAAGCCGATTTTCAAAACATTGGTTTTAGTCGATGTTCGTAAATTCCACTCAAGGCGACTACTTTTCCATGCCACAGCCCAGTACTTGCCGAGTCCCTGTAACTCGGCCCCCAGTAAGATTGACTTCTTTTGCAGCTGAAAACTATTTAAAAACCAAAACAATAGAAAAAATCCCCAAAAAATAAGAGACTATATTCAAAGTAAAATTTAACAAAACACAACTGGTTAAAAAAATTAGCAAAAAATAGATTTTAAATTAAATGAGTTTGCAACAGGTGGTATTTTAGAATTTTTTTTAAAAAAATATGGGAAAATGTAAAAATATTCTTTCATTGCTAAAATACTTTACAATCTTTGCCAAAATGATAGAAAACATAAATAAACATGTAAAAACTATTTTAATATTTTGATTTATTTTTTATAATTATTTTTAGATCCTCAAGTTTGACCTCTAACTCGGGACAACTCAAGCTCTGGCCTTTACCCGATCCCAAGTCACTCACGTCGAGTTGAGTTGCAACGAATCTGCTGACTTTTCAAACACTAGTTTCTTATGATTGTAGCCCTAGAAGTACAAGATGGCTCTCCCCTGAAAAATCTATTTATAAAAGGGATAAGTTTATATAGAGCCAAGGGTTTAAACTTTAAACAATCAATTTAGAGCATTTCTCAAAAATTTCACTAGTAAAGGTTGTTTTGAAGCTCAAATATCATCAAATTGATATCTCGACGTCAAGATGCATGGATATGAAAAAAATGGATTTCAAATTTTAGAAATAGTATATTTTATAACGCATATTTAGACCGTCATTTTTCAAAATTTTCAAATTTTTATAGATCTACATAAGCTTTAAACTTTATAAATAAAGATGAAAATATATTTTAAAGCTATCACAAAGATTTCTAATATTGAAACCACTCTGAGACTATGAATCAAGAGGGCTTGAAATCAACATAGGATAGTCGTTTTTTTTCTTTTTTTTTCCTTGTTTTTTTTTTGGGGATTTGTTAAGGGTGAGAATGGAATGTAGGATGTCATGTTGGGTATTCACCCCTTAACCACTTATGTCCGGCTTTGATGATGATAATGATGATTGATCAATTCCACACCACATCTCTCTTTTCAAGATAAAAACATATATCTCTCTATGTGTTCAAGATAAAAGCAAAGGGAACAGATAATGCATCTCCTTTTACTGGTCGGCAGTGGTCTACTTGGAAACTTGGAAAAAAAAAAAGAATCACTGGGACAAAATCCCTATCTTTTTCACACTACGTTATTCTAATGTTAAAAACTTTAAAATAATTATCTTGATTTTGACTTCGAGATATGTGGATATAATAAAAAAAAAAGTTTTAAATCTTAAAAGAAGTGTATTTTATGACATATTACCTAGATGGTCAATTTATAGATATTTTTGGTCTGTCATATCTTTAAAGCTTTAAATTTTATTAACAAGCTAAAAATAGAGTTTCATATTATCGTAAAGCCTTCGACAAAAAAATCAAAGTAAGCCCCACTTAGATTTTGAAGGTTGACTCCTCCTCCCTAAGGGAGCTTCAAATCAACATGCAAACCATACAAAACTAACTTGCATATAAATAAAAATAAATAAAAAACAAGAAGAAGACAACTTAGTTAGATTCCCCCGTGTACACGTAAAATCAACGGCTAGAAAGCTTTCACACGTCAAGTTGACTTCAAGTCTTGGTAATTGACTTGAGTCTTTGTGTATTATAATACTTCTGTTTTGGCTAGATTTAATACTTTAATTCAAGAGTACTTTTGCCACTTGAGGACAGAAGACGTAAACTTTGGAAATTCTTGATTAACTCGAGCAAATCAATTACCTTTTCTTTTATCTTATCACAATACTAGTGCTGTAAATTCGGGAATTTCATTATTTTTAGGAGAAAACACAAAAAAAAAACTATTTTAAAATTTAAACATAGTCCCATGTATTTTATATTTTATGCTTAAGTCCTATTTTTTTTTTTATAGTAAATATTATATTTTAATTTCCTTTCATTTCTTTTCAACATATAATATTTTATAATGAATTGTATTACAAAAATGCCCTGATAGGTTTAGGTTTTTTAGGGGTATTTTTTTAATTTAATTTTAATGCTTTTTAGAGGTATGTTATTATTAGAGGTATTGATTCCCGAAATTTGAGTTTAATAAGGACGCATTTTCCATATAATTAAAATATAATATTCACCGTAGAAAAAAATGACTTAATTATAAAATATAAAATATGTAAGATTATTTTTATATTTTGAAAGTAAAAAGAGATTTTTCTATTAACATCCCTATTTCAGCCCTTGGCCCTTAATGAGCCAAGGGCTAAAGTGTTTGTTCCAAAATTATTCGAAACAAATGCCCAATATTTATTTATCTTTTTATGAAGAAATTAATTGTAGTTTTCTACAACCAAAATGGTGGTGATTATTTAAATAAAAAATAAAAATGTTATGGAAAGAAGTATTTCTCTCAACAAGTTAATTTAAATAGTTTATTCATCATCATTATCTTTTCTAAAATTATCATGCATGTTCTAATGAGAGCATACATATTTGTTTTCCGGTTTTAGTTTTCTTTTATGCGATGAGGTTGTATACTATGATACCATTTATTGTTGGTAGAAGAAGGTCACAATTATTTTTAGTCATTGGATGCGAAATCGAATAGATGAAAGTGTGTTATAATATTTAAGAAATTTTATTTTGGACTTTGTGCCCAATTAATGACAAACCTTCAATCAGCTGATTTCAAATCTAATGGTCACTAATGAATGTGACTGTGTTATATCAAAAGTAAATACATTATATACATTTCCTTATGCAATGGGATAACTTTTTTATTGTCTTAGGAATAGATTACAACGTTTCCCACCCCAAAAGCCAAAAAGGGGAAATAAGACAAAAAAAATAAAAATAAAAAGCAATAAAAAGGAAAATCTACATATCATGATCATCTAAATTAGATTTGATTTAAAGTTCCAAAAGCAATCCAAATCCTTTAAATTCGCTGTCCATTCAAAATGGAGAACTCAAATCTGATAGTGGGTTGGCAACAGATATGGAACATTTTTCGACCTCTAAGTGTTTATTTTTCATTTATTTTCCTTTTTTAAGGAGATTATTTTGGAGCAGCTTCGTCAAATAAGATTTGATTTGAAGCTCTAGAAGTGCTCCTACTCACATAGACTTACCAAACATTCAAATGTATGATCCAATTTTGAGTTTAGTAGTCACATGGATGTGCACTATTTTGAGCACTAATCTTTCTCTTTTACTTATTTATTTGTTTATTTTGGTATGGGGATATTATATTCGAAGAGGAGACTGATATGGAAATTTTTTTTTGCTCTCTCAACATCCTCAATAAATTTGTTTTGGTACAGATGGACGTTATAGTCTAATATACACATAAACACAAGGCTTTTCCATAGGTAATCGATGAAAGTAAGTTTTAGAGGAAATGTTGCAAGGTTGGTGAGAGTCTGGATTTTCAAAAACTTTAAAAAAAGAAGCTAGCTATCAGAGGAAACTTTAGAGAGAAAAGCTAGCTATTAGAGAGTTTATAAAGCTCTGTGTTATTCATAATATAAATCCTCCTCTCTTACCTCCCTTATATATAGGAAAGAAATGGGAGTACAAGGTTCCTTTTCAAGAGGTATTTGATAAAAAGGTCCTCCCATAAATTAGGGATGTGCTTATCTTCATATAACAATTAAAAACCATTTAAAAAATAATTAACTATAAAGGTTTATGCCAATCCCATGTTTCAAATTTTAAGAAATAAATGCTACAAATTATTTGATATTTGACTATATTGGGCAATTTTTATTGCAAACCACCCATTTCAGTCATATATCTTTCACCTCTTTTTTTTTCTTTCCATGACAGTGCAGATTGGGTAGATTTATAAGCACTTGAAACTTGAAAACGGATGGTACATATAATTTGTTACAAGATACACTATTTTTAATACTTGAAATTCTCTTTTTTCTTTGTATCCATACATCTCCAAGCTCTAAAAAATCAAGTTAGAGTATACCTTCAAATAGCGTCGAGAAATGTAGTTTCAATATTGGAAATCTTTGTGATAGCTTTAAAATATATTTCTATCTTTATTTACAAGGTTTAAAGCTTCAAAAATAGTGTAGATCGATATATCTATGAAAATCTTG